GTATTTACGATGTTCTAACCATGGAAATGTACAGTATATTGTTTTTATTATCTCATCTAGTATATAGTTGTACGCGGTGTACACTTAATGGATTACAATTAAAATGTACTATTTTTAATAGTTATTTACTTTTTCAGCACCTTTAAAGCCCTACTCTTTTTGGGATTCTCTTGTTTAGTTTTTCAGGGTGTGGTGCATCCTTTCTAGGGCCTTGCTGAGTATACTATAGTACAATGGTTGCCAACCTTAATGAGACCAGGGACCAATAAATTCTTCTAAAACCTACCTTGTCCCAGTAGTAAATATGTGTTTAATATGTATTATAAAAAGAGTGATCCGTCGAAAATATAAGTTTGTCTTTGTCCGGCCTCCTCTATATCTGTCCGGCAATGTCAACCATCACACCCTGCTAACCTCTACCTCAGATATATGCTTTCCTTTCTCTGATATCTATATTTAATGAGATCTGAAGCATGCAAAAAATACCCCCTAGTGCAGACACAAGCATAGTAACTGTGGTTGTGCTGTCACTGGACACTGCAGATAACAGAAAAAAAGGTACATAGCCACTTCAATTTGCTCTGTGATGACACATTTGTGATCGCTCTGATGAATCGGTGATCACAAATTTAAACAATGGCTGCAATTACCAGCCAACAGAGTTGTTGTGAGAGGAAGGAGAGAGCTTAGTTGCTGATCACAGCCACAGAGCCTGATTACAACCAATACCAGCACCTGATTACAATCAATACCAGTATATTATTACAACCAATACAAGTACCTTATAAAGCTGGCCATACACTTTACAACCATCGCACGACTTTCATAGTGCGATGGTTGTAAAGTAATTAAAATCTGGATCTTGGACAGGCAGATCGTACTTGCGATCATCGAAAGCCCGCCCCGCTGAGGGGAGGGCTTCCGATGACTGCAATGCTGAGCGGGCAGTATGCGCCTGATTATAGCCAGTATCAGTGTATGGTTACAGTCAGTACCAGTGCCTGATTACAGCCAGTACCAGTGCCTGATTACAGCCAGTACCGGTGCTTGATTACAGTCAGTACCGGTGCTTGATTACAGTCAGTACCGGTGCTTGATTACAGTCAGTACCGGTGCTTGATTACAGTCAGTACCTGATTATAGTTGTGCTGCCCGAATGTAAAAAAAAAATGAATAGCAATAAGGAGGCTTATACATTTTTTTCTATGACTGAGGATGGCAGCAGAATGACCTCACAGTCAGACTCAGATTTAGAGTATGAATCTATAAAAAGCAACAGTTCATTAACGTGGGATAAAGATGTCTTTTAGATTGTAAGCCCTCATGGGCAGGGCCCTCCTTACCATCTTGTCTTGAATTGTATTGTGATTGTAATGACTTCCTAATATTGTAAAGTGCTGCGCAAATTGTTGGCGCTATATAAATGCTGTATAATAATAATAATATCCCTGTGAAAAGTGTCATCGAACATTGAATATTCAAGTAAAATGCATTAGCCAAGCACTAGCAATGCAGTACATCCTGGTGAAGTGCATGAGGCAAGCACTAGCAGTGGGGTGTTCCAACAACAGCTATAAGGAAACTGTCACAGAGGCACTAGGTACTAGTGCCCACAGGCACTTTCGAATTCTGTGTGGCTACCCTCTATTTCAGTAGTGCCTAACATCCCTTCATTTACAACCCAACATTACCCCATTTAATTTTTTATATGTTGTTCACCATAGAACTACTCAGTTTAATTGTGGACCAATGAAACCTTTACATCTGACAATTTATTGCCAGAAATCTAGATTCATTTTATGCAAGATGATTTCAGTGGAAGCCTATAAGTATATCAGAATGTAAAACATTTCTCAGCTTGTCTCTAAACATCACCAAAAATGAAATGCAGTCATATTGGTCCACATACCTAATCTACCACATGGCCATGTATTCTTTAGTCATGTCCAGGACATGATATCAAATGATAACATTTTGCATTTCAGTGACCATTTTCTGTGGCCTCCCAAAGTGACCCAGCTCTGAGACGAGAAAGAGGGCCACTTTATAGTGCAAAGTAGGTAATTAAAGGACGCGCCTCCAGTGACGCAGATTAAAAAGGAATATAAACACAACAACCTGGTGAAACCCACAAGTGCTTCCTCTCCACCATTATTTGCCTTTATAATGTCCTGTAAAAAAAAAAGAAGCTAAAACTTTTAGCTTTTATATACATTATATTTGTATATATATATTACTGTATATATTGTTTTTATTCATATATCTACATCGGACCAAAAAGAGGGACATCTGAAAGAGAAGGAGGGCCAGAGGAGTCATTGGGGAAAGGGTGGGGTGTCTTTCTGTCAATGACTACTCCTTACATCTGCGTCCAACAGCTCTGTCTGGTGTCCCACCCAGCTCACTGATATCACTGGTTGCCAGGAGCTTTGTGTTGGCCCCCATGCCAACATCCCCTCAATACAATGCCGCCTCATTATAGGAACGGCCCTGGACAGAGGGGTTTGGTTTCAAACGAAGGACAGTCCCTCCAAATGAGGGACTGTTGGGAGGTATGAGGTCTGTGAATAGAAAGACTACAAGTCCTATCTGTCACTGAGGCACAATGACTTGTAGTTCTCAAGTGTGATGACGTCAATGCACTTGTAGTCTATTAATAAGTTCCTCCAGCTCCATAACTAAAAGTCCATACCTCAGTACAGACATGGGCTGGGAGGCAGAGTCTGCAGAGGCCTAGTTATTGCCCCTGCAATTCTCTAATCACAGCTGCAATGCTTTGCAGGCTTCCATGCAATAAATTCATAAAATAACACATTGCCTTTTTGCAGCGTAGTTGCATTTATTTATGTATTACTAAGTAGAATATGCCTTTAGTTCAGTTGTTTTTGAGTCTCTTCTGATTTTATTAACCTGGAACTCTGTGCAGTTTGGGTAAAGTACAGGCAGGCGCTGGTTAAGTCAAAGTCATGTGTGATCACGTGGTCCCCAACAACCGTGTTTGCTTGTGTTTGCAGAGCCGTCCAATCAGATCTCTCCATTCCGCACTGGGCGTTTGGTGTGTAGGATGAGACCATAGAGAGGCGGTCACTGCGGCTGGTGTGCATATGAGCCGCTCTTCCGGTCTCATGACAGCGTCTGCAATAACAGCAGACACCGGCTGTGAATGCTATGGCTGCCGCTAGTTCAGTCAGTCTATTTGTGTGCCTGTTCTCCCTGCTGAGCGTGGTCAGCTCACGATATGCCCCCAATTGGGACTCTATAGACAAGCGTCCCTTGCCGACCTGGTTTGATGAGGCAAAGTTCGGTATCTTCCTGCACTGGGGGGTGTTCTCTGTGCCGTCATTCGGCAGTGAGTGGTTCTGGTGGAACTGGCAGCAAGAGAAGGGCAAGTCGTATATGGAGTTCATGAGTAAGAACTACCCGCCCGGCTTCTCCTATGCAGACTTCGCCCCGCACTTCACCGCAGAGTTCTTTGATCCGGACTCGTGGGCGCAGCTCTTCCAGAGGGCCGGGGCTAGGTGAGTGTCCTAGAATAACTGTGTTGTATCATAGTAGCTTATCAGATTGTCTTTTTTTTTTTCAAACCAGCACTGACCTAGAATCAGGGGTTATGGCTAAGATATAACCGGAAGCACAGTGACATTATAATAGAGAACAATGCTATCTATAAAGTACAAAGTTACTACAATCTCAAGCCCTGCATTACACCCAACACAAGGTTTCATTGGACTAAACTCTGACACTTAACAGTGTGGAGGCGTGCCTACTGCCTTCTCAACTTCCCATAGGTCAATCACTCTGAGGGGCTGCTTCAAAGGCCAATGGGAATTTTCAGTGTCGAACAGTCTAGTATTCAGGTGAAATGGTATGGCTGCTGTAAGCTTCTTTTACGTGTGTGTGTGTGTATATATATGTATATATATATATGTGTGTATGCTCCATCACAATTACTTTTGTTAAAGTCTTGAGACAATGCATTGTATGCACTAACACATTTACCTATGTTGTGATGTTATCAGCCTATGGCAGAAGGTGGTGGAAGAACACCACCTTCATAAGTTCTTCCTCCACCTTCTGCCATTATATTCCAGTGGCCATAACGCTATTTGTGTGTTTATGCACTTAATCCCTGATGACACCATGCTATGCAGTGAAACCTGTAGGTGAATATATGGTAGGGTTTTTAATTGGGAAGAAGGTATAGGAATGGTAAGTCTTCTGAGCAAATAGATATTGAGATAGAGCGATTTGAATTTAGAAAGCAACAGACAATTGAGGAATAAAGAAAAAGAGATGCAGCTAGAGGAAGGATGGAAAAGGAAGATGATCTAAATACAAAGTGACTTTGCATTCTATGCCTCTCCCCAAATGAGGTAATCTAGAAAATAAACATATGTTCTATTCATTACATTTGATTAAAAACTGTTGTAAAACCGCATAGGAGAGATGCAAATTTGAAAAACACTAAACCTTGCTCTGTAAATATTTTCACGATAGATTTGACTTAAGCCCTGTCCACACTTATCGTAATGTTTGCACACACATTAACATGTGTAATGCTTTTCGTTAAGACAGCCCATTCTTTTCTTGGGCTACCTAGCTCAACAGAAAAGGTGCAGATATCATTTTTGGCAGCTTTGCTGTGAATTGTGCTGCAATGGATGTGCATTGGGGTGCTATGCAGAATTAATGTACTGCATTGCACCAACATGCGTTGCAGTGATCAGTGTGCTAGTGTGCTCGGCCTTTAAAGCCGAATTCCAGGCAGATATAAAAGACACAAATGATTGCAGCTCTACGAACGTGACTATAGCACGTTGCAGTGGTTCCCTAAGGGGCGGTTCACACCAATTGCGGTGCGCTCCAGAACGATTGCTGCTGGAACGCACTGCAATTGCACACTAAACTCCCCCCCCCCTTCATTTTGGGGAGGGGGGGATGTGATGGTGCATTAAAGTCAATGGCGCCATGCCCAACCCCGCTCAGTGTGATTGGACGTGTGGTAAAACATTGCCTACGTTGCGGTCCAGTTTGAACAATTTTTTTTGCGTTCGCATTGATTGCACCGCAAAGCAGGCAATGTTTTGCCACGCGCCCGACCGCACGGTGGGCAGGGGCGTGGCTGCGGTGTCATTGACTTCAATGCACCACCACTCCCCCCTCCTGCCCCAGAATGATTGGGGAGGGGGAGTTTACTGCTCTGTAACACACCGCAATTGTTGTGAACCAGCCCTTACATAGTGAGAGCTCCCTGGGGTAAATAGACATACAATGACACATGCAGTTTTATAATGTTGCTGTTACTTTGAGAAATCTAATGCATGATAGACCATTTGCAAGCTAAGTGGTGGAAGGAAGGCTTTGATACCTACCTATAACTTAGTCAATGACAGAAACGGCTAACATGTTCAGTATCCATATAATTCATGCAGATGTCATAAAACATCCTTTTCAATAATAGTCAAAAATAATATAATGGATGATGCTGACTGCCAAGGATGTGTCTTCTTAAAGGGTTTAATCAAGCTACAGAAGTGAGCTTGTTTTTCATTTCAAGGTCTGTCCAGCCAAAAGTTTTCTTGGGGAATGATAAACAACCTTTTGTCAGATTTTTCTGCCATACGAGACCAAACAGGAAGTAAGGGCAAAAGCTTGAACAGCACCACAGGTAATAAAATAAAGATTTTTTTACCGATAGAAATAAAGTTGGGGCAAAGAAACATTTTCCATTGCAGTAGGACTATTCTGCAGATCAGAAAAATACTGCATGTCTCATTTTGTCTGGTCTGGAATGCATTGGAACACATGATGATGCATAAAAAAACGTACAAACGCTCTGGAACTCACCTGAAAGAGCTTTTTTTAAGCAAGAAAAAAAGTGCATTGCTTTTTGGAACGCGGCAAAACGCAATGCACTGCGTTCCAGATCTGGTTCAGAGAATTGTGTGAACTTGGCCTAAAGACGAGGCTGTAGAACCCGGTCACATAAAGCAAAGGGTCCTCCAGGAGCAAAGGATTGGGTAAGTTAAAGTCCTTCTTTTTAACTGGTACCCCAGGCATAAATGTGTATTTAGCCCTCAAAGTGTGGAGGGAGTCTTACTGCAAGAGAGGATTTTCTTTCCCCTGGAGTTCAGCTGTCAGCATTGTGAAAGTTCAGACAATCGTGACTGGGTGTAACTTGACTTTTATTGTTTTAAGTATTTGTCAGGTGTTTTTTATCATGTGACAGAAAATCAGGTTTGTTGATCCCGTGAGTTCTGACAGGTAAAAAGGGTGGATTTCCAAGCTTTGAAAAATCCTCAATTTGTCCTCAACGCATTGTTGTATAAGCAATTTCTTGTTTTAGCCTGGTAAACATTTTTCTAGCAACAAAGAATATTGTTGCAAATTTTACTACACACTACCATACAATTCCCTATTTCTTGGCACAATTAGATGTAGACCTGGTTCACACCTAGGCAGCATAATGTTTGCACGCGGGGGCTCAGTGTGTGTTTTTTTTACACTTTTTATGCGTATTTTTGGCACATTTTTACACCCTTGCAAATGCACGCACACATGTAGATGCGCGTTTTAACTTGCAGCTTAAACATTGAGGTCAATTGGCGAAACTCGCGTGCAAAAAAACACACATGAAAATGTGCAACATGCTTCTGCCATGCGTTTTAATCTATGGGGAAAAAACGAGCTTGAAACTGCCAAAAGCTTATGTACTTGTTTTTTTGCATTTTCCTGCTGGTGTTTTGCTGCTCAGGTGTGAACAGGGGCCATTGAAAATCATGGGATTTCTTGTGTTGGGCGTTTTTAAAGCGCTTTTATTACTGCTCAAAAATGCCTGGTTGTTCCATTTGGGTCCAAAGCTCCTGGACAATATTTTTTTTTATTTTGCATATCAATTTTTATTGCTATTGCAGGTTAGATAGTGATGAGACCTTTTCATGAAGAAATCAGAATGTGTTCACAACATGTGGTGAGGATAAAATACAGGACCATATACATTGCCACAAATTTAACATGCGTTGGACAATATTTTTATTTATTTTGTTGGTCGCTTGAGGTCGTGTGTGTGTGTGTACTGCATTGTGTTTTGCTGCCCTGTGCAGCTGAATCTAAAACCAGGGATTTCTCTGGAGAAATCCATCTGGGATAGTCACACAACAGATTGATTCCTCTCCTGTGCTGGTCACACAGAGGATCCAAGAGCAGGAAGTGTAATAGGTGTACAACCATATCTTGATCTCACTGTAACTGGCCATATCTGATGATACACTCTAAAAAAATCCTTTTTATAAAGAACAGTTTCCCTCTTCACACACTGCAAGGTGTCACTGGAATACTTCATGCTGTGCTGGCATTTTACTTTTAGTTTATACAGTGCAGTGTGGTGCCATCAGAAATTGAATTTTTGGTATTAACATTTGATTTTGGAAATTAATTGAATTTCCAGAATGGAAATAACCTTCACTGTTAGAATTAATTTTAGAGAATACATTTCCATCCTGCTCCTAATGGGGATGCAGATCACAACTAAAACATGACGGGCTCTTTGCAATTTGCGTTTTCTCTAACATAGGAAATATATCTTTTTTTTTTTTCCAGTTCTACTTTAACCCCTTCATGACTGAGCTAGTTTTCAGGTTCTGTTCATAAATGACTGACACATTTTTTTACATTTTTGCTGTGTGATTCTTCCACAGCAGTAATATACTTTCTTACTAAATGTACCCACACATATTATATATTGTTTTTTAGAGGACAGATAGGGCTATATAATTATATCACATATGTGTACCTAACCCCTCACTTAGTTTGAATAAAATAAAAAAAAATGAGGAAAAAAACTAGAAGAAAACACTTTTTTCACAAGTTTTGATTATTATTATTTTTTTTAGAATTTTTTTATATTAATTATAGTATAAAAAATATATTTATATATAATTTATATTTTCCTAATTTTGTTTTACACTTTATTTTAATTTTTTTACACTTTGTAAAAAAAATAAAAATAAAATAAAAAAAACTTTTTTTTTCTTGTCAGTTTATATCAAGCAATCACTATGACAGCTTGATAAATTAACTTTTTTATTTTATTTTTGGCTATTAGGCTGATCCAAACTTAGGAACAGCTAATAATAACCTTAGAGACTGATCCTGACTTTAGTCAGATTCAGATCTCACTAAAAGCTCTTTGATCGTGCCTAGACGATCAGAAATGATACATTTCACTCAAAAGAGATACATTGTATCCTTTCAGTGAAATGTATCCAAACATCGGGCTCTCGAGCTGTCAAAACAAATAGCAGAGAGGTGAGGTGAGTCACTGCTGCCTCTCTGCTATTTTGAGCTGTCAAATACGGGATCGCAAATTGCGGTCCTCTATTTGCATGTAACGGCTTCATTCTTTCATTAATGAAAGGAAGAAGCTTTTACAAAAAGCTTAATTATTTCATTAATTAATGCCTCAATACTGAGACATTAATGAATGCCTGTTAAATGCTGAGAATCAGCAAATACCGGCATTACAAAGCCTGATATAACTCGTCATGTACAGTGTACGTGGCCAGTCATATAGGCACAAAGTGACAGGACGTACACTGTACGTCTCCCGTCACGAAGGGGGTTAAAGGGCAGTTGTCTTTAAAGTGAACCTTTACCCCCCTTTGACTAAAAATCGCATCAGCATACAACTCTGCATGCTAATAGGAAATCATTTTAAAGCTGGTCATACACCCATAGATTTTCTATCAGATATTTTCGTTGCTGCCAAGAACCCTCTTTCGATTTTAGCTCAAATAGCCCATCAAGCACAGGCCAATGTCGCATTCGATTGATCCATTAGCAATACTAACTCACCGAATTTTGACGATCGACCTAACAGATTATCGTTTGCGCATTTGCCGTGTTCTTGCTGTTGTTATTATTATTTATTAACAACAACAACAATAATACTATTGTTTTTTTATTTACTTTCTCCTCGATTCGAAAAGTTTTCCAGCCTGACCAATTTGAGGAAGTTCGGCCAGATTGGGTTCCCATCAACTGATTGTTTGGAAACCACGTTCGTGTTTGATTTCCGAATGAAAATGGAAGCGTGTATGGGCACCTTTTACATTCATTAGCTAAACAAACATAATTTTATTTTACAATTTCTTTTATCCCACTTCCTGCTCCTCTTTGGCAGGAATGATGTAATGTTCCCAAGCGTTGCATCCTGGGAAGGTTACATCAGCAGAGCATTGCTGGGAAATCTCACCTGTAATCTCAGGAAAAGCATTTCCCTTCCCTGAGATGATGTGCATGGTCACATGTCCTAGTCACATGTGTCAGAGTTCCAGCAAGTAGGAGATCTAGTAATCTGCCCTTAGTTAAAATGGCCACTTTGAGAAGAATGTTATTAAAAATTACCTTTCCGTTTAAAACTGCAGCTGCTTTAATTTTCTAAAACTGTCAAACCGCTACTAAGAACAGAAAAAGGTAGGACTGCAACAAAGTTTATTAAAATCCTTGCAATATGCACTAATCAGATGGGAATTTCCTTTTCCTCAACAAATGTGGAGTTACTCTTTTAAGTGTAATGCTTTAGATTGGGAAACCTAATGTGTGATCTGATGCACATGCAAAGCACTATGACCATTATGACAGTTTCAACCACAGACCAGTGTTTTGTCATGTCCTTACCTCTGCTTCTCAAAACCTTTTCTGCGGTAGATTAGAGATTACAAAGCATTCCTTTAGTCGTTGTTCCCCATTCGGACAGTGGAAATTGTGTGTCTGTTTAAGTAAACCTTAACAAAATGTCTTTTCTCACTTAGGTATGTCGTTTTGACAACAAAGCACCATGAAGGCTTTACTAACTGGGGCTCTCCTGTTTCCTGGAACTGGAATTCTGTAGACACTGGTCCACATCGTGACCTAGTCGGAGACTTGGGAGCGGCACTAAAGAAGAGGTTTGTTTTTCTGATTAGAATTGCTTCACATCACCTACATCAGTTATCCCTCAGAAGTCAGGGCTGTTATACACGCGGCAAACAAATTATAATTAAGAATATGTTTGTTTTCTTTTCCTAGGAACCTGCATTATGGATTATATCATTCTCTGCTGGAATGGTTTCATCCCCTGTATTTATTAGACAAAAAGAATGGCTTCAAAACACAATATTTTGTATTTGCAAAGACCATGCCCGAGCTGTATGATTTGGTAACAAGGTAACCATGTTTTTTGTTTTTCCAAATACAATGTATTTATGTTCTTCTGGATTGCATAAAATAACTAAAGGCAGACTTTTTTTTTTTTAATGCTGTCTGTGCCCGTTAGGATGTTTCATTCTCTCTAATTGTTCTGTTCACCAGTGTCACCGGGAATAAAAAGTGACCGTTGATGCAAAATGTTTTGTTGTCACCAGAATAGGAATAGAATCATCCACTAGGGACATTTGTTCCTGTGATATCTAAGGGGGAGTTTTCCTTACATTAGAAATATATCCCCTCACTTCCTGTTGGATCTACAGGAAGTGAAGGGAAATCTTGCTAATGAGTCTTAAAAAAAAAAAACCAAACATCCCCTACTGTATCCAAAATGGGGGGTGGGGAGTTTTGCCCTGTAAGATTGACTTTTTTTTTTTTTTTTTTAAATTGCAAATACTGAAATTGTATGCATTGCATTTATACTTATCTGTTAACATTTACATTAATAATACTCTGTTATCCATATGCTATGTTGTCTAATCACTTTCTTTGCACTAGAGAGAAGTGATAGTGCTATCCTATCATCTGAGGAAGTGAGGTATTCATTTCCTCACAGTAAGCACTCTAGAAATGACTTTCATTCTGCCAGGACCTGGGCATGCATTAAGTCAGTTCTATCCCAGCTTTATTCCTCTATTTCTTCTGTTCTCTTGTTATCCAGTTGTTACTTGTTTTAGCGAATGCAGCTGTCAGTCAAAGGAGATTGGGGCAGGACTGGGATGATCCACATAGTTCTGTACATTGAGGTCTCTGCCCTCTTATAGGAGCATAATTACATACTTGTTAGTGTAGAAGGCCTATGACCTCTGTGTTGAGCAGCCAGCAGAGCTGAAACCAAGAGTTCATAGACAATCCTAGTGGTCACTGCTGATTGGCCACAAGGTGTTCTGTATCGCCTGTGCTCCAAAAACATCTTTTTGTTTTGTGGGGTTCAGGCTTGGGAACATATTTCTCATCCATGGTGATGGGTGGCAGGTAAGTTGACCACACTTGCCTCTGTAAACTACATTTTTAAGAGAAGAATGGATTGCATAACTTTTTTTTTTTTAACTTTTTTTTTTTTTTTTGTCCCTTGCTGGACAAGTGCATTGCAAATAGTGTGTTGGGAGGGTATTTGAAATGAATGGAAATTCATTGTGAGAGCTGAACCTCCAGACTGTGTCTTGGCTCTGTGAGCAATGTGGACATTGTTTACTATGCAATGCATGTGGTGGGAGTGTGAGTACTGCAGAATGATGTGCATTTGGAGGGGAAACTAGAGAATGTGTGTGATTTGGGAGAGGGGTACAAGGTAAGGACCTATATGTGTGTGCTGGAGGTGCAATCTTACTGTGGAAATGCAATTTTGTGTGCTGAAGGACTTTGTGTGTATTTCACCCCATTTCTTGCTAGATACAATTTGGGGTGGGTGGCATACAAATCTGCAACGTGGGCAGTAACGCATCCAGCAGCTGGGAATGGGAAATCATTGCTAAAAGCCCAGGAACAACTTGACGTGAGTGACTGCCCAGTGTAACTAAGTCGTCACTTTTGGACAGATGAATTGACTAATTTAACATAAAACTACCTTTTGCTTAAAACGTACTAGATATGTCACATTTTAGCAATTTGTTTTTTTAGTCTGCTGTAAAAAGCATAGCAGAATGTAAGTTTCAACAGGTATTAAGTCGTTCTCTGCCAAGCATTAGAAATGTTATCTAGTATGTTGGTATACTGAGACTGACATGTACAATGCAATGCACAGCTTGTAAGTCAGGGTAACAGACCTCCACCCCATCTGATTCCATGATGGGTAGAGGAGTATGGAAACTTCTCCGGGTAATGTTGACATTATATTAATGGCTTCTTACTGGGCAAAGAGCACTTTATGTGCTGCTTTGTTTTTCTTAATGCGATGCTGTTTCCAGCCCTAATGCTTTCACAGGGCTACTGCCTTCCCCCTGAGGAGCTCCTCCACATTGCTTTTCTTTAGGTCTGCTCTTTTCAAAAGGATCCCCTGATGGTTTCACCTGAGGTTTGCCAAGGCACAACGGAGAAGTGCGACAGTGACATCTGGATATCTGCTCCATTGCCGATACCCAGAATGCCACAGTAGACACAGCTGTATATCTAAATGTATTATTTTTTATTGTATTAGTTCACGCAACTATTTAAAATATGTGCGCCTTTTATATTTTCAGTGATTTCCATTCTCAGGAGACAATTAATGTAACTTCTCTTGTGTTCTGATTTTAGCTTTTTATGACTGACCCCACATATATGGAATGTATAATTTTTATACTTCTTCCCTTTTTTTTTTTTTTTTTTTTTTTAACGT